ATTGCTAGGAAAAAAAGAGGCTTCGATATTATGAGGGAAACTATGATAAGGCTGGTCAGTGGGGCGTTAATCTGGTCTCATTTCTGCACCACTATGTAATTGATGGTCAGTGGTATCGTCGATGACCCCCCCCCGCCCCTTTTTCTTTTCTCCAAACACTTCACACCGGGCTTGGCGGTTGCGGCGTAGATTAAGTTTTGCACAGCCATCAAAACGATTGCTTTCCTGCGTTTAGCCCCACAAACTGTGGGGTTAGAAATAGTTAACGTTGGTCGTTTACCAAGGGCTTATTTGGTTTAAGCTACTGTAGCCCCAATACATATCGCGTTTGATCGGCGAACGTTTCTACATGACATCTTTTGATTTGCTCGGTAAGAACTCACAAACACAACATTTGTAAACACTGCGATTCAACTGTCAGAGCTTACAGCTGTCATCTGGTAGATTGTGTTCGAATGAGGTATACTTCTGTTAAATTTCCAATACTCAGAACTCGAAGTCTTCAACAGGTAAGTATGACAAAATCATTAATTTAAGAGAATCTAACGATTTCCGAGACTGGATTTATAAAAGTACCTGACGACAGTCATGCACAATCATGATCACAAATTTACTAAGTGTTTATTTTTTGCGATATATAATATCTAAAAATTATTTAAAGGATGGCTCCACTTTCCAGCGGCTCCACTTTTCCAGAGCTTGCGGCTTGATACCATTAATTCCTAAATTTATTTATCAAATTGTTTTCACTATCACCTAACAAGAAGTCATGTTGGCGTCCTCGTTGATGTTCAGGTATTTTATTTCTAATAGGACATAAATGGCCAATCATCAAAAGGCTTGGCTATCCGTGAATCTGAACTGGAGCTCAGGTAAAAAATGCCCGCTTCGCTGCCTTGAACAAGGATAAAACAGTATAGCACACAAAGGGGCGAATAATATGAGAAGGGCGAAATAATTGATAAGAGCATTGCGGAATCATCAACCGACTTTCTTTATTTTATTTTTCTTGCTGTATTTAGCTACTACCATAGTGCAACTGTATCGTCATCACTCATCATATAAAGGTACGTCTTCGCTTGTTACACCTTCGGCGCTGACAAAACATACAGGCTAAAGTATAGAGCGACGGGATTGTACCAAGGTGCCAGCCAACAAATTGCTTTACCTTGATCACTTAAGAGAAAATTACGATTCGTTTTTTTGCCCAGGGCTATCGTCCATAGATGTTCCTGCTATCGATACCTTTGCTCAAGCTATTGTTGTCTATGGCTCGGCAGCTGTACAAGATCGTTCTTCTGTCAGTTCATGTGCTTCACAAGGGCAAGCGTTTGGTTTAAGGTATTCTTTTAAGTGGAGGTGTAAATATAAAGAATCGACGCAAAGGAGTGTGGCATGAAAAGAGGGGTGCTATTGTGCACAATTCGGCTGTGCTGTGCATTACATTCTACTGACTGTCCAGTTTCGATATTGGAGTTTCGATATTGTGAGGCCAACAATGAGAACAGCGCAGCTGGGCTGGAGTTGTGCTAGCTCTGTTGATCCAAACGAAGCTCATGTCAAAATGAGGGCATCAAGTTCGTTTATGCGTAGATGGGTTTTCCTTCGCTCTTCAAAAGGGGATTCGCAAATGGCCGAGTGTTCTAGAGTAGCCTCATCTGCTGGCACGCGGGCTGAAAAAACAGGATCGCTAGCTCCCAAATAATGATCGTCTGCGTCTCAAGAGGCGACTTCCGGCCCAGCTGTCAGCCCGATGCCAAAACAGTGGGGAGTGACACGATTAGAACAGCTTTAAGATGTGCGTAGATCTCTAGACTCTTTGATGCACTATGAGAAAAAATAACCTGACACACGAGACGTGTGCTGCTTCACTACCAGACTAAGAAGCCAATAAGCACTAGAATTCGACTAAAAGAAGTAAGGCGTCATTTTTGAAGCTTTTCGTCATATACCTCAGTGCTTATTGTAAAATTTTGCACTAAAACATATTCATCACATAAAGTTCTAACGATGTTAAATAACTGTCGGAATGGACGGAATAGTGGCACACTTAGACCTAGGAAGCTTGTATTCGCATTGTATTACATTCATTTAGCAACGCAACACTTGTATGCATAGGAAAGCGCTTTTGAAAGATGGAGGCGCCTGTGAAACGAATGACAAATGGGAAATATTTATGGTTACGTTAGACATGGCTCATGTCGACAGTCATCACGATGCTGTCGACTTCGCTTATTCTCCACAGTCGAACGATTGAGGATATCTTTATTACTTCGCTTCTAAGCCTTGGAGACATGTAGCTACGATTAAGCACCCTCGTAATGAGTGAAAACACTGTCAAGTAAATGATATTATTCGAGCATGTGTCATCATTTAGGTCCATAGATCTTACAGGTTGGCTCTAGGTTTGGGTTGGCTTCTTGTACTGCGATTTGACAATAGCAAACACCCCTTAAGCTTTATGATCTACTCGTATACTGAATGTCTATAGGGATTGCTATCGATTTGACTATTTCCAAATTTAGTGGTGTACAAGCGGAATCGTCTACACCGAGTAACCCATGGTAAATCCACTTTATTTATTTTTAGACATGAGCGCGGCCCCTTTTCCAAGCTAGTGAAGGAAGGCCTGAAATTGAGAGAAATCAGAATTCAGGCACTTTGAGTAAACAGCTTACATTTCGTGTATAACGTCTCCATATTTCCTGTGCAGGATGATATGCTACAAGGCTATTATTATAGCTTATATGTAAAGAAAATCCAATTTTTAATAGTCGTACTCAATAACAAGAAACGCGATGAATTCTTCTCTAGCTTAGTACATGTGTGACAAACAAGATGAATGAATCTGTTTTTTTTTTAAGCTATTGCAGATATGACCTCTTGTTCGATCTTAAGGTTTATAGATGTCAGATACTTTTTATTGGAGCAGCGTATTCTTGTGATGGCGTGACGCTAACGTGTGTATCTACTAGACGTGTAACACGTGGGACAGTTCAAGGCGTAGACGCACCTTGCTTCGTCGTCAGTGTTGCCGTTCGAAGTAACGTTTAACACCAATATCGTACGTAAAATTCAATTCGTTCGCCATCAAGTTACGATCAGCCATGTTACTTCGACATTTCTTTACATGATAGATCGTTGTTTTAGTTTGAGGCTCAAATACGAGCACGTATTTTACACTTCAATGAGTTTTGTCAGTTTCAAGTTATAGGGGCGTTCATGTAAGCAATAAGCTTGTCCGCGTATCAGTGAAAAAAGTGCCTTTTCAGCCAGCCGCTGTTTATATGTCCCATACGAAGGTTTTTATCGTTGACTACTGCTGACTTTTCTAGTGGTAGATCGTTGTTAGTCGATGTTGTAAGCGGTAATCTGCTAGGTGATGCATATAAAATTCTCTTTTCAGATATTTGAGGATGCAGACAAGTCGCCTTCACGCTTCGACATGGGGTTTCGGGGGCGCATTGGTAACTATTATAAAACCTGGTCACTTTTAGCGAACGCCATAATATATCTCGGGTACTATTATAGTGCATTGCTAGCTTGGACGTTGGCTTATCCGGGTGTTGATGCCAGTCAATATTGATTTCTAGCTGATCAAGGAGTCGATACGAAGACCGAAGGAACTACCTGCCGCACGGATTAAGCGGCGAAAATGTGTCTGTTCTTTGAAGCTGCTATTACAGTCGATCTGTATTTTTCGTCATAACGCCGCTCAAATACAGATTCGGATTGATGCCTCTTACTATGACTGACTCATCAACATCCATCATTGCTACCATTATCGGTTCGAAGACTAAAAAGCATCGAGGTAAAGTAGACTTTATGGGTTCCGCGACAATTTCCTGTCCAGATAAGGATCAAAGTGGAGTATACTGAGCGTAGAATAAGTAAAACTGAGCAGCCTCGGAATTCTCTGAAAATTATCTAAACATCATATAGCTCCTACTAGTGTGTTTAACCTCTAAGATCCCTGTTAATTACCTGAAAAAAAAAGATATTTGCTAGTAACCGCTCAGGCGTCGATTCCACAAGTTAGGCTAGCTTGGTCGTAGAAGCGTTCCTCGCATGTACTTAAGTACACAAACACGTTGCAGGCGCCGATAGTCGACGAAGTTTTCTATTCTGCTATAATTTCGTTTAATATAGGCTAATTTGAAGCATGTCAATATAACGTTACAAGGTAACTTCGTAATACAAATACATCCGATTACGTTTTGTTACAGCCGTCCTGATCTACTTCGAAAGAAAACTGATTACATTTAGCGGCCGTATTTTTATATCCTACAGGAGAGGCACATTTTTACAGGCGGGCAAACAACGACATGAAGGCGTTGTTAATATAAATAATAATAATAATAACTGCCAAATAATACGAGAATGCCCGCCTATAAAACGGACATCTTTTTCACAACAATCCTGGATCAAAGGCCAAAACTAGACTAAACTATATATTGAAGCATATTTTAAGATGGAATAGCTCCACGTTTCGGCTACAATAAAATACAAACAGTTATCATTGCTAATTTAACTAATTATATTATAATAAGATGTAGAAAATATAAAATTAATGAAATAAAAAAACGGACAAAATTACGTGAACCATGCCCATGAATAAACACGTTAGCGTACCCTAAAAAGAGAAAACAATGAATTAACTCTGGAAATGAGTTGATATCAAAATGGTCCCCTTATCTATAGTGAGTGACAGAAAAATGCTAGATAAACGGTTTTTTAGTCTTCGATTCAACAATAATATACACTCCCATTGTTAATCAAACGTAACGTCATGCTACCCGTCATAGAAGTAGAGCTTTACATGGAATAAGTAAACGCCGACCTAAACGCAGCATTTTCGCTCCGCTATAATGTCAAGGTATCAAAACATAGCAAGTATTTTAGACGTGCATCTGTACTATACAATTTATCACGCGTTACAAGATTGTACAGAAACAAATATAGCAAATTTATATGCGCCTCGGTTTCCACTACTGCTGTGCGGGTTGTCGTTAGGCCTACTTCTTCGGCGACTTTTATGGCCCATGACGTTGTTACAGACGTCCAAATTGCATGCAAACAAATTTGTGTGGCTTTTTGTCGTGCTCACACCTTGCCTTCCATTGGACTCCCAGCGTGCTGTTGGAATTTCCAGAAATTATCTTAGTTTACTTTTGGAAGATAATTAGAGAAGGCTGATTGTAGGTGTTAAAGGATACGATCAAACAGCTAGCGTGTGTAGAAAGGAACGCTTAAAGCGTCTTTGTGTATTTGCGTTTAGGTTTGGAGATCTCTAATATAAGGTATAGTTAATAAATAACGTTCAAGTAACTGATTTGTTATCATTGGGCAATACACATTAATTTAATTAAAAAGCACGCACACACGCATATATATATATTGTGTGTCTGGACAATCTATTATGATGTAGCTAGCTATTTTTTCTGTATGTACCAATTATACTGGCACGTAAGTTTTCTCCGTGGGATATTTTGTAGCAGTTTAACAAATCAAAAATTCTTTACTTTAGTTTCGTTATTTTTGGAAATGCTTCCACGACGTTTTTTCGTCGAGACGATCAAACAGCGGGGCAATTCGAAGTAGCGTGTCAAAAAATCTTTCATGAACACATCCCGGCGAACGACATCCGCACTAAAATGTTGAGGGGCATATCGAAATTTTATAAAAATTTCTATAATTCAGCAAATTATTTCTTATCAATTTCGTAGACTGGGTATGGCCTAAAAATGTATTCCTTACTGTAGGCATACTATATAAACCTTTAGAGCCTTTATTTTGTTCGTTATCTTTGCAGGTCCGTAAAGCGGGCCGAGGACGTCTCACTCATCTCACATAGCCACGTGTGCCATGTCTTCTAATTTGAATGTAATGCTGTGTATACAACACGCGGAAACTAAGCTGTCAAAACTGCTAGAAGTACTAGCAATAATTTTTAATCCGTTTTGTCCAGAATAGGAGGTAAACGTACATAATCGCACTCACTATCGCTAGATATGTCTAGTGTTTACACGTTTTGTGGCGTCTAGGTACTAGCTGCCTAAAAAAACGTAACAAAAACACCGACGGCTAAATTGAATTATGCCCTGTGCAACAATACAGTAATGTAGTTCCAGACTATCTATTTATATAGTATGCTTTTAGATAAAGTGTAACGTGCCTTATATGTATATGTACGCAAAACTTACATCCCAGCCCAAAGTTGTGAACGATCGTTTTTAGTAGTATTCTCAAGCAGTTGAAGCTTTTGCGCCGTTTCGTGTCTGTGAACTTCGACGTCAGAAGCTTCTTTGTCCGCATTGTCATACCGGATTAAAAAGCAGAGGCATCGCTGGTGTTTGGCAGGCAGCCAGGTTGACAGGCTCTGGGAGTCGGGGCTATGGAACGAGTACTTCGGAAGCTCCCAAACGGGAGGCTTCGGAAGCAGAAGTGGCCGAAACGAAGCATAATCAGCAAATCGCTATTCAAAAGTTGCAGCAGGTCGGCGAATTGCCTCCTCAGACTAGGACTTAAGGTATGGTACAGCTAAATTTCTAAATCGTAATACGACCGTAGACCCTTGTGAACCTCCAGCCAGCTTGTAGTCACCACAATATAATATACGGTCGAATCGAAGTCACACTCAAGCCTGAATCATTACAGTTAAACGAAAATCCATATTATACAAAAAAAAAAAAAAAAAACAATTTCTAGGAAAATTATCCATTACAGAACTTAGCAAGGGGTTAGTAGTTAAATTTGGACTGGATTAAGATTCTTGTCATGACTCTTATCTATGTAGGGCAACGATGTCAAAATCAGTGTGTTCTTCAGTTGGAAAAGGAATTCAACTAACGCCTAAACAAACATTCAGGACTCACTGTTTTTTCGACATACAGGACCTGCGTCAAAACCTCTGTCAAAAAACGCTGCATGGAATAATGATGTTGCAATGCAGTTGGACCTAGTAATTATCCGAGTGTTTTATTCAGTACCACAAACTGATACCAGTCATAGGCGCATGTAAATAGTTTGGTTGACTTTGAGAATACAAATGCAGGCTTAAGTGGACAAAACTTTATGTGAAAATACGTGCTTAGCTGAGAAAATGATTATCGGTTGCAAATAGTGGTATGAAGCTGTAACCGTTTGATGGGTGTGATTACAGTTTGAGTAATGGGGGCGCTTCAACACACAACGAAATAAACTGAGAGAGAAACAGCTAAGACACACATTTTTATGGGCATAATAACCGAGTTGTTTTCGTTTCAGTTTCCTTTGAATCACTAAAGGACTACGTATTTCTAATGATTTTATGTCGAAAAGCCGTCAATATGGTATGCTTTGCTTTGGAAGCTGTCTCACCTGAGTGTAGGGGACGTTTGTTGTTAAACTAGTGATTACAATATATATGAATATAACGACGAAACTATTTGCTAACAAAAGTAAAATAATATAGTTATAATTATAATCGATCCTGAGTAATTCAGGTTTTTAAAAAGAGTCATCGCGATAAAATGATAATGAAAATCAAGGAAGTATATAAGATTGTTTCTATAAAATAAGAAAGTTATCGTTCTATATCATGTTTGGCATAAGCCTGTTAATATTTAAAAATCAGTAGATACTCTGCGAGTCCCGTGACAAAATCTTTTTTATGAGATAAAAAAATATTGAAAACGTTTTCTAAATGTTCGTGTATTGTTTTCTTTCCGGGCTCAATATGAAGTCTGGCCATTAGTCGCACGCATTTTTCAGAATCCATTACTACAAACTCGATTTCTGATGAAGACTCAAGTTGCGAGAACAACGAAATCGTATAGAGCGGGTTGTACGAGCGATTTTCCAATGTACCGACCCTATGTGGGCGCCTCTAACCCCATCACTAGTCTATTGGTTCCGTTCCGCTTGCAAACGTCATGCACCATCTTTCGCTGCAATTTGATTTGAAGGCTAATAAGCAATAATGCGGGTAGTGCTGTGGCGGCGCCAAGTATACCTGCCTGTCGACCTGCGTGAAGCCATACAGGAGTAAAGCGAGGGTTACAAGCTGCATGTGTGGATTGGCTCACATCCAGGTGAGTCTTGAATGCACAGATAGAAAACGACGTAGCTTAGAAATACACATGGGGAGCTCGGTGTTGCAAAACACGTTTTATCGAAAATCCGCTTGGCAGAGAAAGAGAGAAATGACCGGAGGGGGCGGGGTTGAGGAGGAATAGTGAGGGACAGGGAATAACAGACCTCATGCGGGCGATCGTACTTCCGATGGTGGTGGGTATGCTCGGAGCTGAAGCACACACCGCTTACCTACACAGCGGTCAACATGTGCTGGAGTGACGGTGCTGCACCAAAGTTGTGGAACACGCGCCATCACCCACATTGACATTAAGCAGGTGCGCGCCACGATTTAAATCCTCCACTACATCACTCTCTTGAGCACTCTGTATCTTTCGTACTGCAACGCCCTTCCTGAGAGCGATTCTACAACTAACTCACTTTTACAATTGCGCTCTCCTACAATCATATTCGCGGAGACTAGTCTCCTCCTCTAACGCTCCTTTTACCCAAGAACGCCCAGCTCTGCCATCTAGATTCACATAATGTGTCTCTGATAGTGCATTACCAGTCTGTTTGGCTTAGGCACTCATTCCTTATTGTCGATGGACGCGAAGTCGTCGTCAATGCCGAACAACGAGAAACAGGTATTGAGCGGATAGGGGGTCGTCACTCTCTGGTCGGAACCGCCTTACTGAAAGCCTTAGCTTTTCCTGTTTCGTTGCTAGCGTTCTCAGCGAACTTTGGTAGGAAAAAATGTTAAATGAGCGCCCGCAAGCTCATGGGCAAATATGCACACAACATACGACTAGTTTAAATTATACAGGTTTTCCTCCTGTTTTTGTTTTCCTGATCTCATTTGGTGGTCCCCGAGTTCATTGCTCTCCTTCGACTATTGAGGAGCTTCAGTAACACTCCGCATATGTGTGGCATCGTAAAAGAAGTTACACAGGTGTGCCAAGTGGTAGCAGGTACGGGTGAGAGGACGAGCTTACAGAAAACTGAGGTAAAAACCATGAAACAAGCAAAAAGGCGAAATCGTTATGTATAAGCAACGATTTCTGAAAGCTTACGGTCACGCCTTGCGACGAGAAAGGCGAGGAGGGTGACAATGACGGAACGATGACGGTGGTGAATCAAGCGAGTCGCATACCTGATGTAGGAGAAATTGGGTTAAACTCCCAGTAGAGAATTGCTTCAGCGGCACCCTTTATAAAAGGGCGCAGCGTACACTAGTCCTTTATTCAGTCGTTGTGTCTTGAACCCTCCTGCGAACACCTCTATCCTTCCCATCTCCCCGAAAAGAAAAACAACTCAAGCAAGGATTTTGAAGGAGTATCAGCTTACCACCAGACACCCATGGCCCTCATCATTGCGTCCGGATGTCGCCGTTGTTATCGAAAGTGAATTCAGTCATGCCGCTGCCTTCATGAAGTAAAGGCAGATTATCACGTAGTGGCCGCCAAATTGTAGCTTATGGCAGTATTGGTTGTGTAATGTGCCCGTTATGGGGCAAAAAAGAAGAACTGGGCCTGAAGCTGTCTTCTTTTTGGAAGTACCGAGGCGGTCCCGGGGATGCAATTGTCGCTTCAGTAGCAGCCGTGCCTGAAGGCAAATGAGCTTGAATACTGACAGTAAGTAAGACAGCCGTTTCTGTTGCTTTACGCTGGCCGTTATCTGTTGAATGAGCTCCGTGTGATGCTGTAATGTTTGAACGAGTTCACAGATGTATGTGGTAATTTGCGATGCTGGTCATAGAGCTAGAAAAATGCAGTATGCCATGCTTCTAAAAACAGATTCTGAGCAATAAATTTTTATTGTATTTTTATTGTAAATTTTTATATGTTTTTGTTGAACACTCAATTAGGTAACAGTGCGGCTCGCTCAGGTTAAAATATCGTTAACGTAAATATTGCCAAACCACAATAACAGTAATCGTACTGAAATTGGGCCTGGCCTTCCAATGCCTCTCGAGTCTTCTCAGCTTTGTGGCTAAGGGAAAACTGAAAATACACTTGCATACATCCAAGCGCAGTGACCGCTGCATACGACGGGTTTTGCACTTTACAAATGGCCGGTAGTCATATTTAAATTACACGCATTCAGCTCTAATTGCTCAATTGCACTATAGAATTTTACGTCCAGCACAATTATATATTGGGCCTTCAATGGGCCTCATTAAATCTACGTAACGTTTTTTGAAAAGTCGTTTGTAGCGTGCTGATACCTTTGTGGTATATATACCGTAACCATATTAGAAAATCGATAGTCTGAAGTAAGGACGTAAAACACACGTTTCGAGAAAAACAGCACAGCATCGGATCATTTTCAATGAATCCTAGCTCAATAAAAATGGTTTAAAACGTTCCCATAGAATTTCCCTAAAACGCCTGCAGCAAGCATGTTTTCAATACAGACCAAGTCACACACACAAAACGAATCTGACTTCTTCGGATATTGTTGTACTATCGTTATTCTTAAGTGCATATTGATAACTGTATTCATACGCAGAGTATACTCGATACCTATTCATTTCAACGTTTCTACTCGTCCACATCGTTGAAAAGGCCTGCTCTCATTACCAGGGTGGCACTTTTGCCCAAAGTCGAAATAAACCTTAACGTAATTCGACTATTTGTTGGAGGATATTTAACACGTAATAAACGACAAGGTCAGGCTACTTTTTCTTTCCATCACTCGTTATCGTAACTGTCACTCTACAGTTCTCAATGGCCCGCAAGAATATCCCGGTCCTTTTTTGAAAGAGATCTTACGGTAATCTCGCGACGTACATCGTAAACATTCCTAAATAGGAGTTACAGCCGTAGTATACGTGACCCTCTTACCGTTCCGAATCAGATTCGTTTTGCTCTCGTTTTGACTTCGTTCTGTCACTTTGCCACCATGGTTTTCCCCATAAGCATCTTCAATAAGAACTGTCAGAAATCCAAGTCTTTATAATGAAAACGCAAACGCAAACGCAAACGCAGTTCGTATGAGAATGTACCACGATATGTCAGTAGTACTTTCCATTGCCGCTATCCTCGATCGTATCCATCTGTTCCTTTTTCGCCTGCTGTAGCCTTCGAGCAAGCGACTTCGCCGAAATTGCTGCGGATAAAAATATAACAACTGCTCGCGGCCGCTGCTGGTGCGGCTCCTGCCCGCCTGTGTGGGTGGAAGATTCACTGCGTTTGCCGTCTTTGTCGCGTTTAGTAGTCGACAGCAAGGACAATGTCAACGACGACGACGAAAATTGTCGCTGTTGTCGGTCGTCATGTTTTTACGAAGAAAAAAGACAACGCCAGTCGTAATAGGAGGATACAGCCCAACCTTGTTCTTATTCTACTCCACCCCCACCAATGCCAGTACCGTCTTTCTATCCCACATCCTTCCTGTCCAAGTTCTCTTTCGTCGTCTCTCCGGTACTTCCCCCTCCTCTCTCTCTCGCTACGCTCTCCTTGTCGTTCCTCTCTTCAATCGCCCACTTTCATTCATATCTTCTCCCGCAATTCTTGT